CTGAATTGGTATCAAAGTATAACTGTCATGGCTGGCATGCTCTTATTGACAAGTTTATTAATTAATTTATTCACTGCACTGAATATTCAGATATTAAAAATACTTTTATTATGAATTTTAAGAAAGAGAGAAGCGAAAACTTATAAATTGCGAGCTATTAAATAAGAAAAAATTTATTTCGAAATAAAATGAAATACACTAACCTTTATTTATGTATATCACATAAGATTTAAGTTAAGTTCACAATCTCAACACTTGAAATTTTTTTAATTATTTTTATGGTTCAAATAATTATCAATAATTTATTTATTATAAATGAACAAAATTTAAGCAATGCACGCTTGATAAATATTTCTAATGCGTTGTCAATTAATGCAATTAATAATTTCCTATTACACAATATCATAATCGACATATATGACATTTGTAAACAAACAGGGTTGGGAAACAAGAGCCTAAAATATGTTCTTCCAAAGCAGAGTTGGGTAGGATTCTGTTTCACGTTTAAAGTTAACGGACATGTAATTTTGAAATAGGGAAAAACTGAATAATTATTTTTTAATAGTTTTGTTAAAAATAATTTGAATTGTAAAAATAATGAAAAAAATTTAAATGTTGCGATCTTTTTTCAGACAAATGAAAATTCTATTAATTAGAAATTCTGATAAGAGTGTCGAACGTTGTCTTGATCAAAAACATGAAAAACTATAGTCTGTTTCACGTTCACCTCTTAATTGCAATGTTTTAACTAATGAAATTTAATGTTTAATGTTAAAATTAAATGTTTAATGTTAATTTAAATTAAATGTTTCAATCAATGAAACTAAACTATACTTTTATAAACAGGTTGAGAACCTTTTCGTGATAACTGAGTGCTTATAGCGAGAATTTGGAAAATGCATACACTTTCTGAAAATTATTGTTGGACATAATTTCAATACTACCCAACTCTGCTTTGGACGAACATATTTTGGGCTCTTGTTTCCCAACCCTGTTTGTCTACAAATGTCATATATGTCGATTATGATATTGTGTAATAGGAAATTATTAATTGCATTAATTGACAACGCATTAGAAATATTTATCAAGCGTGCATTGCTTAAATTTTGTTCATTTATAATAAATAAAATATTGATAATTATTTGAACCATAAAAATAATTAAAAATTTTCAAGTGTTGAGATTGTGAACTTATTAACTTAAATCTTATGTGATAAACATAAAATAAAGGTTAGTGAATTTCATTTTATTTCGAAATAAATATTTTCTTATTTAATTGCTCGCAATTTATAAGTTTTCGCTTCTCTCTTTGTTAAAATTCATAATAAAAGTATTTTTAATATCTGAATATTCAGTGCAGTGAATAAATTAATTAATAAATTTGTCAATAAGAGCATGCCAGCCATGACTGTTATACTTTGATACCAATTCAGGTATCAAAAAATGATCCCATATTCTGGATCATTTCTTGAAAATGATCCAAATATTTGGATCAATTTGATACCTTATATCGAATCAAAACATTGCATTCCAAAATGATACCATCAAGTTTACAGTGAATATTTTAAATAAATAACAATAATATTCATTATTGTATCTTCGTTGTAAAAAAAGAGGAGAAAGAAAAGCATTTCTTGAGAATTAAAAAAAGAAAGAAATACGTATAGATGTATTGCAGTAAAAACCTCCATTGTGGATTCGCATGTGTTGGTCCAGTTACGACAACACACATCACCATGGACTTTCTTGGCTACATGTACCCTTACCATCTTACGATCGTGCATACTACATGTGCTTACATTCAAGCGTTCTATACAGGCGCTGTGTCCAGTGTAGCTTGCCTCTACTCGCTGTCTCTCCTATTAAAACCTCTTCTTCTTCCCCTGGCTGCCTATAGGCTGACGGATCACAGCATCAAAGCAAATGTATGTGTGCATAAGAATGTCACTTACGCCAAATATTCAATGTACTTTTCCAAATCTTTCATCCATATTTTATACCAATGGAATAAAATGCCATAGTTAAACATTTCATTGCAACTTCCAGTTCGCAATGAAATGCTGGAGTTATATAACTGACAGAAATAATTGTTAAAAAGCAATAATAAATTATTGTCTGTGATTTATATTAACTTAGGATACAGAAATAAGAGAAGGGAATATTTTTCGAATTGTAATTATAATTATTGTTAAAAAATTATTATAGTTATAATTTCGATTATTTCAGAAAAGTATCAGATTTTCATGCAATTTCCGTTCCCACGGAGACCAGCGTGAGATCCAAAACGTCAGCAAAAATAAAATGACCAATAAGCTGTAGTCAGTTTCCCTACTCCTAATTCTAATTACCCCTAAATTCTAAAATTTATCCCACCTAAGACAAAGACAAGGGCTAGAGGCTTGTCGCAAGATTTCAACCATCGCAGTAAAACTTTCTTAATCTTGAAATTAATACCTTTCCATGGCTCTGGTCTGGCAAGTGCTAATTTCTGAAAGGATTTAGAAACGCCGCGACTAAGCCCGTCCGCGAGTCGTAACCCGAATTATAACCGGCTGGTTGCATAGTTTTTTGCTCACGCCGTCTCAACGTCGTGCGGAGTCACAAAATTCTCGCGCTTTCGCGATACTAAAATTTTCTTTTGCCCGCCAGAAGACAAACTGTGAGCTTTGAGCATCAACGACTTCTGACGGTAGTTGTAAGCCGTATTGGTAAGGACTAAAAACTTTTACTTATCGTTCCATTTAATTATTTTCTTTTCTTTATATCGATTTCATTAATGTAGTTTTAAGTAAACGACAAGTTTTGTTTTCGGTATTTTTCAACTTAATTGTAATCTTGATACTTTATTGAGCTTCTTCAATTGAATAAATCTAATAAGGGGTAATTTTTGTTTTATTGTGTGTTATACCCATTTTGCACTCTGAACATCAAAATTTAAAATGATAATAGTGATAATAGTGGCTTAGCAGAAACGTTTTTAAAATAAGATAAACGATCCCGCAAAATAATAAATAAAATTCTAGAGTCTTTTAAAGTAACACGTTTTAATTCTTTGAAATTTGGCAGCTCAGTGCTTCCCCATAACCTTCAAGTTGATAAATTCTAATTAATAAATTTTTCGCTTTGTAACACCTACATTACTTATCTACTACATTACATTAAACAAAAATGGGACAGGTTGGTGGCGCCACTTTCTATGTAGTTTAGCATTGACTCATTTTAAGTCCCAACAAAAGTGAGACTAGATTTTTTGTGTGTAGATTGTTTACAAAAAAATTTATTTTTTTTCAAAATTGTCCCAAATTTCCTAAAATTTTTTTTTTAATTTCTCTTCATCATGCAAAGCTGCCATTTTACAATATTTTTAATTTAAAAAATTATTATACAAATTGTACACTTTAAGGTCCGCTTTATTTTAATTCAATAATCTTTACTACTTTTTTAAAAAATCTTGAAAAAACGTGCATTTACAAGAGTTTCCCTCCTTAAACATTCTTGCCCCTTTTTTCAACTGTATACTTCTTTTGGAAAAATCCTCAGCTTTCGATTTAAAAAAATAGTATCTTTTAACCCGAAAAAGTCAAACTTATTTTTGAGCTTTATTTTTTTTGGTCAAAAAATTTTCTTAAAAAATGCATTTTACCAATCGCAAGAACTTTAAAAAAGCTTTCGAAACTGATATTGATAAAAAAATTTATTTTGATATTTAAGAAAAAAAATTATTGAAACATGCGGTGTACCGTAAAATCCAAAACTTTCACTTCCCCCCCTCGAAATATATTGGACTAAATGAAAAAATATTTTTACCAAACATTAACATCTATGAATACTACAAATGCCCCGAGTTTAACCTTTTCGTTGGCTGAAGGAATTCGAAAAAAGTGCCCAAAATGTACAGAAAATTTCTTTTCCTGAAAATTGGTATCCAGGGGTTTTTGGAGTCGCTGATTACGAATTGGATGTTAGTTTTTTAAAATTCAAAGTGTCGGATACAATATGGCGGACTTTTTTCAAAAATCGTTCAGATTCGCTTGAAACTCACTACTCGGGGGGTTTCGGGGTCGCCGATTACGAATTCGATGTTAGTTTTTCAAAATTCAAAATAGCAGAATTTTTTTTAAATCATTGTATTTTCTTAAAAATGGGTTTCTGTCGCTGATTACAAATCTAAAGTCAGATTCTTAAAATTTTGAAAAATTAAAAATGGCTGATAAGCCACACCAAAATCCCTAAGATACCCATTTTCGCGAATATCCAATATTTTTTTAAAGAAACCAATATTTTTGTCATAATTAATCCGCCATTTTGTATTCACTAATTTGAACTTTGAAAAACTAACATCGAATTCGTAATCAGCAACCGCTGAAACCCATGAGTACTAATTATTAAGCAAATCCAAACGATTTTTGAAAAAAGTCCGCCATATTAGATTCGCCATTTTGAATTTTGAAAAAATATCATCGAATTCGTAATCAGCGACTCCAAAAACCCCCTGAGTACAAATTATTAAACAAATTCAAGTAATTTTTGAAAATTTTGTCCGAAATATTGGATCCGCCATTTTGTATTTTGAAAAACTAAGATCGGATTCGTAAACAGCGACCCTAAAAACCTCCGAATGGGAGGTTTGAAGCAAATCCGTACGGACGACTCGCTGGGGCACGAAAGGGTATATGAAATGAATGGTTGACGCGTAAACGCGTCAATGCCACGTAGAGCACGGAAAAATTTAACGTGTCTGTGGCAACGAAGGGGTTAAGCGTGATCGGAGAAAAAATGTTTTGAACCTTGATCAGTTCACCTGGGATCCCCATATGTATGTATAAAATGAGATAATACAGGATAAAATGATATTTCTGTCTTATTTAAGACGTACCTAGCAAACGGTAGCATATTTTCTTATGCAAGAATCTTTTGATATTGTGAAGAATAAAACACATTTTTTGAAATGAGAATTGCTTTTTGACCATTAAAATATAATTTAAATATATTTTTTTTTAGGTATCCAGCAAGTCCTTAAGCAATGACAGTCATGCATCAGACCATGCTACTTTAACATTAGATGAACTCCGAGCAGTGAATCGTTATGCAGAGAGTACGAAAAGTCTAAGCTATTTGCCTCAGGTAATAATCTTCGGCTTGTTCAACAGCCATGTTGTTTCAGACGGTAGTCGATAAGTCACACGATTAGTGTGATCTCGAATGTGCTAGTTATAAAACTTACCTTTTTGAGTAAACCATATAATTTTGTTTAATATTCGTATAAGTTATATAATTTAAAATATAAAATAATAATATAATTATAATATAATAAATAACACTGTGCGAGAGCCGAAATCTCTTTTTATCGGACCTACTAGAGGTTGGAGGTAACAAAAAACTAAGAAAAATGGTATATTAAAGATTTCCCTAACACCCCAAATTTTAATTTTAGAGCCAAAAAACCGTTTTCACGTATATTTATGACTAAAACCATTGTAACTTTTTTATTTTTGCACCGATTTATAATTTTTTTTCATTTTGAAGCTAAAAAGTAGGGATTTTCAACCCACATAGAGTTTTATTGTTAAAAGTAATATTTGCAAGAGAAAAGTTCTAAGAAAGTGTGGAAATTGTCAGTTTTTTCTCAATTTTACAACTTTAACTGATGTTTACCGCATTAATTATGTTTTTCCATATAAGAAAAACGTAGTTAGCCTCAAAAATGAAATTGTAACATGTTTTACAAATATACTTTTTGTCAAGAATGTTTTCATTGCTAAGTAAAATTCAACTTACATTCTTAAAATTAATTACTAAATTAAAAAAATATACGAAAGTTCAAACCATTTTGAAATTAGAATTGTTTATTCAGCCTTTTTATTTTCATCTTTGAATCGTCCTCGTGACATTTAAGCGTGCAGCAATATTCGGAGATCATACCCTACTGAAAATCCCTGTACAAGATCTTGTACAATTTCCTGTACAGGATCAGCAACTGAACTTGTACAAGTTCTGACCAGTTCCTGTACAGGAAAATGCATACGAATTTGGAACAAGTTCATGTGTGAGATCTTGTACAAGATCTGGTGCAAGATCTTGTACAAGAAAGATACTTGTACAAGAAAATGTACATGATCTTGTAAAATTTCATGTATAAGTACTTGTACATGAACACGTTCATGTTCTTGCACATGAAATAGTTGTAAAATTTTTTTTTTAATAAAATTTGAGATTTTGATAATTTTTAACCACTAAGATTCGTAACTCATGCATGCTAAAAACTATTGCGCAGCTGTAAAGGTTAAAGTAAACTATTGCGCAGCCTTTGAAGTTTTTAATTTTTAGTAAAGAAAAACATGAATTAACTTGTGCAAGAACATGGATGTGTTCATGTACAAGTACTTATACATGAAATTGTACATGAACATTTTCTTGTACAAGCATCTTTCTTGTACAAGATCTTGCACCAGATCTTGTACAAGATCTCACACATGAACTTGTTCCAAATTCGTATGCATTTTCCTGTACAGGAACTGGTCAGAACTTGTACAAGTTCAGTTGCTGATCCTGTACAGGAAATTGTACAAGATCTTGTACAGGGATTTTCAGTAGGGTATTCACTGTGCTTTCCTTTTAAAAGCGTTTTTTATTGTTTATATATTTCTTGATGAAATCTGTCACCTTGATCATCACTTACTTGCCCAAGGTTTACGGGAAAGAAGACCAAATGGAAGTGCAAAAAATAAATATTTATAGATGTTGCAATTTTATTTATGAGGCTATCTCTGTTTTTCTTATATGGAAAATAAAATTAATATTTACAGAAAAACTTATTCTTAAAAAGACCAAGATACGAAAAATTGTCAAAACTTCAGAAGCACTTTTCATAAAAGAATTAAAAATAAAAAATTAAGAAAAACTGACAATTTCTAAACTTTCTTTTAACTTTTCTCTTCGAAATATTATTTTTAAGAAAAAACTCTATGTGGGTTAAAAACCCCTGCTTTTTAGCATCAAAATAAAAAAACTTTTAAATCGGTACAAAAATAAAAAAGTTACAAGGGTACCATATTTGATTTTACATATACGGACTATCTTTCTATCTATCTAGATTCTATTAGTTACAATCCAGATTGTACGGAGTAACATCCTGATTGTAGTGGGTAACATAACCATATTTTTTGTAACATCTTTGATGGTGCCGAGTAGCATAATGATAGTACTCGAATTTGCCTAATATAATTAATAACTAAATTGTCAATTAAGGCTTGCCAGTATTTTCCCCAAAACTCAAATGACATAATGTTTATTTATAACATAAATAAATTTGACAGAACTAGTATTTATATAATTTTAATTGGTCATAATTGTGCTTTACAATAAGTATCAATTGACTATTCATTTTGTATAAATTATTGTTTACATAATATTAATCTGTTTTAACATTTTTTAAATATAATATTTATTTATTAAATTTATAATATATAAATGTTTATTATTATAATATTTTATAATATTTATTAAAATGCCATTAAGACAAACAAAAATCATAGTCTTTTATTTATAATATTAATTTGTTATAATATTCAATAACATAATATTTATTTTCCACAATTATTTATGACAATATTTATTTGTTATGACTGTTGCGTCGCTTATCTCGCGCCGCCCTCCCCTCTCTCGTACTACCTCTTACCGAAAGCCGGGAAGAGTAGATACGAGAAGAACACGGGCGATTTGAGGCAGTTCGCTTCTTGCCTGGCTTCGAGGTGCTTCTCGGGCCAACTTGCCTAGTCACAGCTGGGGGTGAGCGTCGATATGCGGGTGCTTCCGCCATCGACTCGCACTAGCGGAGGTGACTACGCGAGGGGCAATGCGTAATGAGTCTCTTCTCTCTCGCACGTCCAGCTTTGGCATAGAGGCGCTCCTCTTGTCAACTCTGAACGCGAGGATCGTGATCTCACACTAGAGGAACTTCTCTGTGTGAGTGAACGATTATGACAATCAATGAACAACAGGAGAAATATTCCCTCCCGTGCTTCCAGAGCTAGTATAGAGGTGCGTCTCTTACTATCTCTGGAGGAAAGGTTTGGAATCACACACTAGAGGAGCTTCTCTGTGTGTGTGAACAAACCTTCGGCCCGCTATAAACCAAAAGGAGGATGCTGGGTATTCCTACTTTAGAGTAGAGGCGCTTCTCTCTCTATTTTAGGAAGATAAGGAAACCATTCGTCTGGACAATGGGTGCTTCCATGTCCGATGACGAATCTTCCTCCCATACATTCCGTTCTCGGTTTTCACCCCTTCGTTGCACGAATAGAGATACGTCTCTTTCGTCCAACGAAGAAGATAGGGGATCGAGTTATCCCTCAGGGTACTTCCTGGGGATGACGTTCGTCCCCTAAGTTGACATTCCTACCCGAAATTTCAGGTATGGCTGGAGTGCCTCGAGGACTGCCTGGCTAGTCGCCATACCTGGACTACGAAGATTCCCATTATTTTGTTGTGGGGCTTCCAGAGCGTATTTCCAAAATAGACCTGGGTACGAATTAACATCCGCCGTTTCCTTTGTAAAATTCTAGATGATTGACACTCAGCGCACCTAGGGTCTTCATGGAGAAGTATGATTAAGCCAGCTGCGGCTTCCGAAAATTTATTTAATTTTCTATTTTTCTTTTAATTTACATGGCAGCGTTCTCTACCTTTTCGAAATCTGTCGGCGACGAAATAATGTGAGCCATGTAAAACAAACTTATAAATTACTTTCTTTTTGTAACGGTCTTTTCTTTCTTATTCTTAAATATATGTATTGAATGCATCTAAGGTGTTTTATTGAATTTACCCCTCTCCTCTCTGGCTTCAAGGATAAGGTCCTCCAAATAAAATTATGTAATAACTACAGTCTTGTAGATGGCGCTTCACGAAATCTTTCTCTTTCACAATTATTTTTTGACCTTGGCTCCATCCGGCGAGCGGTCTTCCCGGCTTTAACAATTAACTAACATTACAAACATAATATTTATTTGCTATGATTTTCATTTTACATAATGTTTGTTTGACACAATTATTCATGACATAATGTTTATTTATTATAATTATTATTTTAAATAATATTCATTTGATATAATGTTTATTTAACATAATTTGTTTAAGTCATACTAGTAACTTGTGTAGCGCAGGCAAGTATAAAGTTCGTGCGTCTACGGCTCCCGAATCCTACCGACCAATCAGGCGCAACGTTACCCCCACCGGTGACCGATGTCAGAGCCCAGGCGAAGAGCGTCAGACTCATCACTGCACGAAGCGGTAGCACTGCGGTAGGAGTTCCAATGGTAGTACCATGAGCGACAAGGAATGAAGAGATTGTACCTCGTCCGGTATTTCCCTCATTCACAAAACTCAGAGATTCGCGATATTTTTCGAAAATCGAGCTTCGTAACGGATATTGGAACATAACTTAGTTGAAGAAAGTCGTACGATCACAGCTTTCGTCATTTTCGGTCGTGGGTTGTAACAATACAAAGTTATGCCCTTCGGATTACATTCCGCCTCTGCAAGCTTCCAACGAATCGTCGAAAAAGTTCTTGTTCCGAACCCGGCATATGCTTTTGTTTACTTATATTACGTAATTGTTTTAGGCAACACGGTCAACGAAAATTTGAAAAACGTCCGGAGAGTTGTGAAACGCTTACGCGAAGCGAATTTGAAAATCAATACGGAAAAATCGGAATTCTTCAAAACGCGCATAACGTATCTTGGTCATATCGTCGATGGAAAAGGTATCCATACTGACCCAGATAAAATTAAAGCAATCGTTGAATTTAACCCTTTAAGGACAGGAAGGACACTTTTTTAGAGCAATTTTCAATGACATATTTCTCTGCGACTGAGAGTTTTAAAAATTTGAGAGGAAGTGTGTCTTATGTATTCGATATCGCTCTTTCAGAATCCATATTCAAAATTTTGAAAAAATTCAAAAAGTTACGGCCATGTTTTTGAAAAAAACACGGTTTTTTGAAAATTTTTTATTGTTAATTATTATTTTTCGAAGCTATTCGCTTTTGGAGATGCATAAAACCCTAAAATATCGTGTCCTAAATGTTCAGACATAAAAATGGTGCAAAAGGTTTTTTTTTAATTCA